GGAATAAAGCATCATGTTCAACTGTGAGTCAAAAACATCCTCACAAACAGCACATTAATATTAAAATAAAGCTTGATCCATGTCTTGCTTAAAAGGACAAGTCACATGGTTGGTTTTTTTGTGTTGTTCCATGTCACCTGCTGCCCAGGAAGCCTATACAGCAACGGTTTCAAATATTCAAAGTTCCTGATATTTAACCATCAGACCATTATAGAAAGATCAGATGGGTTAATGACCAACATGAAAAAAGACGGGGTGGGGAGGAAAACAGCAGATTCTCTACATGCCCTCCCTACAATCTCTAGTAATTTTAATTACACCTCTCTCACTCACCTTTGTTCAACAAAGGGAAAGTGATACCCAAACCGAGGACTCAAGAAAAACCAACCAACCCCCCCCATATGTGAGAACATTTGTCTATATCTGTGTATGTATATAGATATATTCAACAGTCTTGACAAACACAGACACATCTATCAGAGCAATTAATGGAACATTTAAAAAAAATACAACATCCACCTGCCAGAAGATGATCCAAGAAAAACTAAGATTTGGAAGCACTATTCTTTCTAAGGTATCAGCGTTTCAGCTGGTGAGAAAGGCCAGAAGCCTAGACTCCTGTTTACCGTTTCATTTGCTTCACGCTGTTTTTCATCAAATTCTCGAACCAGTTTTTTCTTCTCCTCTGTGAAAGAAAAAGCAGTATGATGTCAGATAAAACCAACAGAATTCCAACTCAATCCATTATTAAGAAGGAAGCTGCCGCAGATGGCTGATTACAGAGATGCCAGGTCAGAATTTACCTTGAACAGGAACAGCCTGTTCTTAAGACAACTTTTCAGAAGGGGGTGGGGGGGAGAGAGCAGGAACCACCCTTCCAAATGCTCATTTTTCAAACCTGAAATATTTTTCTGACCTATTATCCTCCAATCTCCACTGACAAAACTGCATGTTGAAAAACATTTCACATGAAAGAATAACAAAGAGGACCTGTTGGTAAACAGCTCATAAATATTTCTTACTTTTTGCACACCTTTGGGAAGCCTACTGAAGGCTGAAACTGTAATTTGGATTTGAACAGAACATCAAGTCAATCTACATCTCCAAGTGAGCCCTGAAGTTCCTGGCAGATAGAGCACCACGCGTTTGCCTGGTCATAAAGTAAGGAGGTAAATGGGACAAGCATTCTGAAACACCTGGAGATTAAAGATGCCACCGTGACATAACCTCAGGTTCACAGATTAATGCCCAAATGCTTCCCTCTTCTGGAACGACAACAGAACTATACATTTTAATTGAATGAGACAGCCATTTGTTAAGATCCTTGTATTGAGACCTTTGGAGGCCAAAGAACGGGTTTCACTACTGTTACTCCATTTTTAAACAAAACTCTAAAACACGTATTTTGCATGTGTAAAAAACCTATCATACCTCTCTAATATCCATGATCAATGAAAGTATAATTCTGAAACTCCCCTTATCTCATTGGAGTAAAAAAATATGATTTATAAGCTTTTGCAAAAGCACTGAAGAGGACCACCAGAAGAGTCTTGTAGAATACAGCAAATGAAACCCAATTCTATCAGAAGCCTGATAAATATGCACTAGTCTCATTCATCTCTCTCAGAAGAGAATAATTTAGTCTTACATAAAATTTTGTGTAGCAAAATAACGCAGACAGACATCTTGGTAAAACTCTGATTTGACTAAACTTCAAGACAAAATTGAAGACAAAATTATGAAAACATTGTTGCAGTAAAAAAAAAAAAAAATCTTGATAATACCTTTTTGTAAATACGGTCCTCTACAAAAGACGCAGTTTTTAAACCACTGAACTCTCAATGGAGAATAGGGAAAAAATCTGAAGTGATCAAAAGATTTTTAAATAGCTCCTCTCATATACATGACATGCCTAAGCTGTAGGCTTTCCTTTTCAGTTCAAATTCGTATGAAGCCCCAGAATTTGAACTATAGAGAACTTAAAACACAATTAAAACCCGTCATTAACAAGAAGCTATGCTCTCAAGTAGCGCACAGAATTATTACAGATTACGCTACGTTATGATTGTTAATGTATTACACACTAGCTGGTGTCAGGAAAGGCAGTTTCACATCCCAGTTAACTCAGGAGGAAATGCTGACTTAAGAAGGTTCCTAAATACATTCTCCACAACTTCTTCCATGATTTGCCACTACATACATTTGCGCTGATGCCATTATTTGTGTAGCTGGGTTGCAAGTGAGGTAATGGACAAGAACTACAGGATAACAGCCTTCAGAAGCCAGCACTTTCTTTCATACGGGCCATTTCACTAATCTGATTTACATAGTGCCCTCTTAAAACAACTGCTCTCTCAATCTAATTAAAACCTGGTGCAGTACCAAAAAAAGCAGTATTTTACCTTCTCTGTGTCCCCCAAGCGGGTTAAGACGACACTGCACTTATGACCGAGCAGCCAAAGAAGTGCAGGTTAGTTTCTGAAAGTCAAGCAGCAAAGGCTTGAGACGTTTTTTGTCTATAATCCAGCAAGAAATCAGGCAATGTGGCTTGAAAGCTTTATAGTGGATCTGGCCAAACCGAAATGCCAGAACACACCGAGTGGTTTAATTCGTATCACTCCAGATGAAACTGCATCTTGAGGTGCACCGAGAGAACTTTCTCAATTCATTAAAGGAAAAAGTACCTAAGCCACAGTAACATTACCCACATACTCATCAACATTGAACTGATTTAGTTCCAATCAATCAGTCAGATTCAGTTGAAAAGTACAACTAACTGTACTTTTAAGTACAAGCAGCAGGCAAAGCACATTAGGAGCGTGGAACACTCTCAGACGGACAAATCTCACCAGATAGCCTCACCAGATAGGCAAATCCCTGACTTATCTTGAACTCCCTTAGAAATACTTTCCAAAAATATTATCAGGATTTTTCCAGCAAGAAATTTAAAGAACAGAACAGTCACACTAAAATTTCAAAGCATGTCTGAAAAATCAGTCACATTCTTTTACTCACAGCCAGGGTAGTAAGAGACAGATTTTGCATTTCAAGGTGACAAAGACAACCATCCTTCCCAAAAACCATCTTCCCAAAATTTTATGCAAACAACAGCCAGATTCAAAGGCTGTTCTCTAAGAAAAGGTAGTTCTTCCTTTATGCTTTTGATTCTCATTGACTGCTAGTGAAATTAAGTCAGCTTTGAAAGTTGTCATTTGCAGGTCTGAACGTCTTTCTAGTACCAAACTTTCTGGAAACTCTAATAATAAGGACTGTGAGCCTGAATTTAACTCATTATTAAATGGAAAGTCAGGTAGGAAATGCAACGTTAAGCTTTTCATAGCTTGGGTTCAGCTATTCTGAGCAAACCATTTCTTCTAGGGTTTGTGATTTTATACTTAAAACACATAAAATTGGTCAGTTCTGGGAGAATGGCATGACTGGACTATTGGAGAACGTGGCTTACAGCCCCTACTCATTTTTGTGGTACAAAACCCAAGCTGAGCTACAACGGTTCGTGGTAACCCTGTATCATGTTTCTCATACGAAGGAAATTTTTAATCAAAGAGATCTGGTGACATTGCTTGTCAGATCACTTCCCTTTCTGGTTCTCAGAATACTCTAAAGTATTCTCCTCACAAGAGAAGTGTCCTGTCAGTGGTTTACCCACTGATATGAGCACTGCTCCCTCCTAAAGAATTCCTGTAGAAATCAGATTTTGCTTCTAATATAACTTTGCGTAACTTGATACTTTTTTCCAGTCAGACTTCTAAAAGAGTCATTTAAAATGCAAGCCTTCTCCAGTAAGCCTACAAGTGGTTGTGGACAGGTAAGATGGTAAAAACCACTTCTAATTCTAGTGATGACATTTTAGACAAGACACCAACTATGATCAAAAAAAGAAAAAAACCCAAACACCTAAAGCACTGCAGTTTAGGCAGTTCAGCTACAAAAAGCATGAACTAACATCCAAACGACAACTCCTCCTCAGAGACAAGGCCGAAGCTGAAAGCCCAGCACAGCAGCGCTTGGAGATTTCAAATCAAAACCCACAGCCCGGCCTCGCTGCTGAAGCATTCGGGGCTTCGCATCACCGGGCCCGATGCTGAAGAGCAAAGCTCCCCGAGCACTGCAGTGACTGTGAGACAACACTCGGCGAAGACAGGCCTAGGGAAGCCACCCTCCTCCTCCTCCCAGCGGCGCAGGGAGCTCCCGCAATCGCCCTGGCAAACTCCTTCCCCCGCACAGCCCTTCTGAAAGGCGCTTTGCCCTCACGCCTGTAAACACGGGTTGATCTGTGGAGAAACGTCCCCAGCACGCGCCCTCAGCAGGCCCCGCGCCCCTCCGCAGGCCCCGGCCACCCGAGCGGCCGCCCGCGAGGGAGCCCCAGCCGGAGGGGCAGCTGCCCCGGGGCAGGGAGGTGGAAAAAACCCCGACCCCCCGCTCCCGGCCCGGTCCGCTGCCCCTGCACCGTCCCACCCTCACTACGCGCGCCCCGCCCCAAGCAACAAGGGCCCCCCGCCCCTCTCCTCACCGGCCGCGCTGCCCCGCAGGCGCTCGGGGACGCCCCGCAGGTCTCCGTGCAGTCCCCGGAAGATCTCGTGCAGCCGTTCCAGGTGCTCCGAGGAGCCGGAGCCGCGACCCGCCATGGCGGACAGCCTGCCCCTGCCGCGCCCGGCAACGGCCGCCGCCTCCCTCCGCAGCCACTTCCGCCATCAGCGGCGACGGGGGCCTCCCCCCGCGCGGACGGGCGCCCCAAACGCCGCCCGACCGCAAAACCGCCCGGCGGCGGCGCCCGCGCCGGCGAGCCCGCCGCGCCCGGCTCTCCGCGGGAGCGGATGGCCCCACGCGTGGCGACAGGGACCGTGGCCGG